TAGATAAGCACTAACTACTAACGAGACAGTTGACCACACTTGTTAGATAAAACGCAGGCAGCTGGAATTATTGCTAAAATACTCACAAACCTGTTGTGCGAGAAAATGCAACAGGTGACAGGCCGCACATCCCGTGAACCCTTTGTTAACCTTTTTTTTTTGGCTCTAACGAGCATGTCCTTTAATGATTTTCCTTTTTTGTAAGGAAATGATTGGTGGTTCTTTAAAAATTTATTTAAGTTACGGTTGGTTTTGTATAACATTCAAGCTTCCTTTATAGTAGACACTGAGGGGTTGGTATTGTGTCACAAATGGCAATAAATCTTTTTCCTCCTTGTATGTACGTAGCTTTTGTTTTAGGAGTTTATACTCGCTTTTGTGAATTTTATTTCTGATAGTAGGTATTCTATCAAATTTTGTGGGTAGCCTCCATCCATTAAGCGTTTTTTTTTTTAATTTGAATTATTTTCCTCAAAGGTTGTTTCTGAGGAGTTTTTTCGTAGGATTCTCGAGGCTTCTCCTTTGACAAATCCTTTTTTAACACCTGGAGGGTGACACTAGGTGAAATGTGTGTGCAAGAAGGTTTCCGTTTGTTTAAAATGTGTCTTTGCATCAAGGATAGATTTTTTCTTGAATCTTGTGCCTTTGTATACAACCGTGTCTAAAAATGCTGCACCTCCGTGTCAAATGTTTCGGCCATGAATTTAATAGTTGGGTGATGTAAGTTTGCTTGTTCAATGAAGGATTCGATGTCTGGTTTACTCATGTCCCATAGGGAAAAGATATCGTGTACGTAGCATTTCCAAACTATTGCTATTGTTCTAAAGACAGTTTTGCTTAGAGTTGTTGTTTCAATATATGTCATGAAACTATTGGCAAAGGAATCAAAACTGCTGTCTTTGTGCCCATTACAGTTCCATGGTTTTGTTGTTAGTGCTTTCCATTGAAGTGGAAGAAATTTTCTTTGAGGATTAATCTAAGAATTTCCGGCAAGTAATGTGTAGGAATGAGTTGTCTTTGTAGAAATTTTCATATGCGTTTTGACAGACAATTTCAATATACCCTCATTTTGCTGTATATTTGTGTCAAGACTCATAACGTCCATCGAAACAAGAAATGTTCGGTTTTTCACATTTGCCTTTTCAGTGAAAGGTATGATTTCTGTGATTTTGATATTGGTTGTAGCAGTGTATCAACAAATTTTGTCAAGCACAGAACAA